TTTTCTCAATCTTATGCTTAGCCAAATTATTTTGCCTAGTTTTTTCTAGCCCTGCCAATTTCGCATGCATGTCACCCTTATTCAACCTTTATTGTACCCAGGCTTAAAAATGCACGTTACTTAGTCCATTTCATTCGCATCTTCCTTCTCGCACCTTGCCAGACCCTTTTCATACTCATGCAAAGTCCATTACATATATCTCTCTTTCTGGCGTCTTGCCAGACCTTTCCTTAGGCCTACACAAAACCCAATTACACATGTCTTTCTTTTCTGGCCGTCTTGCCAGGCCTTCTCTCAAGCCCACACAAAGTCAATTAATCATCCATTTTCCTTCTGGTCATCTTGCCAGGTCTTTTCTCAAGCCCACGCAAAGCCAATCACTCATTCATTTCTTTCTTCTGGACATCTTGCCAGACCTTTTCTCAAGCCTGCGCAAAGTCAATTACTCATCCACTTCTTGCCACGCCTTTTCTCAAGCCTGCGCAAAGTCAATTACTCATCCGTTTCTCTTCTGGACATCTTGCTAAACATTTTTTTAAGCCTGCTCAAAGTCAATTACTCATCCGTTTCTCTTCTGGACATCTTGCCAGACCTTTTCTCAAGCCTGCGCAAAGCCATTTACTGATCCATTTCTTGAGTTCATGGTAACTTTCTCTTTTGCACGTTTTTTCATCGGTAGATGGCACACCTTCCCCCCCCACAAAATGCGATGTCCCCATCGCACGACTAGTTCTCACTCGGAGGTACAGACCTTGACCCACCAACTGAGTAGACGAATGTCGGCCCATCAGCTCCAAAAAGAAAGGGTGATCAGTTCTCCCCCTGCTGATAACTCACCTAATCCCCTACTCCATCCGACCTTTTGCCGCTTACAAGACGGGCGTCATCACTGAGGTACCTCCTCACCTCTGGCAGGCAGGTCCAGTCCAAAAACCTCCCAGGACCCCGTCTTGCCGTAAGGACTTTCTCGCGAATCGTTCCTCCCAAATGGTGTTTTCTTGGATCCGGCCTCTTCCTTTCAAGAGAGTTGGGACTCTCAATTAGTTTGCGAGTGCAGTTACGAAGACCTCGCGGTTAGTCCCGGAACGGTTGTAATGATCCGGCAGGGCGGTGTCACTCGCCCTGTGGTGGTTGCGGCTTCCACCCGGTACCACGCCCGATTCCTCCCTCTGGACAGTGCTGCTCAACTTAATGCGAGCAGTCGTGGTCCATTCCAAACGGTCGTGGCGCCCCTCTACGGCATGACGTGTGGTTGGGGAGAAAAAAATGAGACTTAGGAAAAAGAATGGCTCTCTCGCCCGTTTGGCTCCACGCCCTTGACGTTTAGGTTCTCAACATGAGGCGCAGTTTTAACTCCCCGACTAGAGCTCGTTGTCGGAGTTAGTTCCGGACGGCCAGCATCAATCAAAGAGAAAGGTGCTTTGATCCTTCAACCCTTATCCCTTCTTATGAGGAGTAGGTCGCGCTGGGACTTTCCCTTGACGGGTAGAGGTCCTGGGGTTGCGATGCATGCGCCGCTATCCCCCTCCTATTGAGACATGAGACTAGAAAAAGGGAAAACTCAATGTCTTGCTATTTCCATGGTCGGCCCGACGACCTTTCATCAAATTGCCTAGGGTCCCCTGACTATGCAATGCAATATCCAATTCTCAAACACTCAATCAATGTTATTTCCAAGGCTGATTCTCATGGCTGGTCCGGCAGCCTCTCATCAACAAGGCCACCCCTCGTGGCCGCTCTGGCGGTCGCTTTCTTAATAGCCATCTTTTCAAGGGCCGACCCGTCGGCCCATCTTCAATCCTCAACTTTCACATTCCCCAATATCCATTCCTTATGACCATCCCAACGGTCTATGCCCCTCTCAACTTAAGGCTCAGCCTTCTTTATCCTGCCCTTCTCTTTTCAACGCATCATTCTCTTTCATTCATCCTCATGGTTATTTCAATGACCGACCCACCGGCCTTTTCCATCTCTCATTGCTCATTCCAGCTCATTCTCAATCAACCTTTCTCAATCAATTATGCAGGGGACCCCAGTGTCTATTTCAAAAGGAATGACCCTTGTCAGGGGCCATTCCCGAATAACCTGGTTAGGGTCGTTCTTTTCCATTCTCAAGTCGAACAGCCTGGTTAGGGCTATTCCTTTCCATCCTCAAATCGAACAGCCTGGTTAGGGCAATTCCTTTTCATTCTCAAGTCGAACAGCCTGGTTAGGGTCATTCCTTTCCATTCTCAAGTCGAACAGTCTGGTTAGGGTCATTCCTTTCCATTCTCAATGTTAGCGCCCGAGAGGGTGGGCCTCGAGGACACGGATCCCATTTCTGTCTTGGAGGTTAGAAGGTGGCCATCTTTTTTCAGTTTTTTGCGTGCGGTTCCCCTCATCCATCCTCAAAGCAATGTATTATGCATGCATACATCCGGCTTAGCGTCTAGTACTCGAGTTGGGGCTTTCGACCCCAAGAAGCACTAACCCACCCGACTGTTTAACCATAGCAAGAGACAGGGGCGCCCCATCTTATTTTCACTCGTTCTGATGACTCGGGTCTCGTCTATTCTCAGACTCATTTATGACTCAGTTGGATTAGGCTCCTAGGGAAGGAGTGTTCTTCACGCCCCTTAACCCATAGGTTCCCTAACCTCTCTTGTAACTCGACCAACTTTCGATGTCTTGCTTTGCTCGTCAATCTGTACTCAAAGTTTCTTTTCTCAAAAGCACAATCCTCATTCCATCCAAAATTCACAATACACCATTCCCAACTGGTCTCATCCCATGCCCCATGTCATCGTCTTGTGTACCCACTTTCGAATGTAACTCATCCAGAAAGTAGCCTCAAAAGCTATCTTCTAACTTATCGTGACACAGTCTTAGCTGGCCCTCTCATCACTCATCCTTAGCAATCTTACTCATATTATACACACCCTTGTCGTTCCAATATTTTGCAAATGAGAAAGCAAGATTTCTGCACAACACTTAATCAATCATCTAATTCCTATTGTTGCCTTGTGCCTCAACTTGCTCGATTCCTTGCCCACCCTGTTCCTCGAAAGGCTTTCTAACCCCCAGGCCGAAACTCTCGATTTCTCTCATTTTTCTTGCAATTTCCTGTAGTTCCGCCTCACTGAAAAAATCCAACGGCGTGGCTTCCACCCCTGTCTTTGCGAGTTCCCGGGTCTTGATAATCCACTCGTGCTTGATCACACTGGTCCATTGCTGAAACCAATGACCGGGCGTTGGTCCAAACTCATTTTCCCATCTGAAGGCCTTTTCGTGCGGCTGGTGCATCGGAAGCCGCCTCTCTTCCCTAGGCCTCGAGATTTCATCCCTCTCATCCCCGATGCTAATTTCTATAATTTCTTGTACATCCTCCTCCTCGTCCTCCTCGTCCTCCTCGTCTTCCGTTCGTATGGGGCTGTACCCGCTTGTCAAGTTCTTTGGATCATAGGTATAGGGGATTTCTGTCCTTGTCCCATATCCTTCTTTTACGTTCGAATCCCTCCCTTCACAACTGTCGTGGCCACTCCGTCCTTCAAGCAGACTTTCCATTCTCTCCTCATCTTCCTCATGCTCGAATCGCATGTCCTGTCTCCCCTCGCTTTCCCCATGCCGAGTCTCACGTTGTTCGCCCCTGTTGACTCCTTCCTCGTCAGAGGCTTGTGCCTTGTTTCCCATGTCCGCATGGCCCCCTTCTCCCACACTTGCCCTTTCCCCCTCGCTTTCACTCCCAGACGAGATATATATTCCTTCCCCCTTTCGGAGGGGTGAGGGTCTTCTACATACACATTTTCTTCCTCCCCTGCCTACCACTGGCCCGGATATGAGCCCAATGTACAACTTTCTCTTCGCCGTCCTCCTCCCTCGACTTGGTCCCGCTTCTTCCCCCTCGGTAGGCCTGTTGATCGCCCTGCTGTCATTTTCGTTGTCGAATTCAATTTTTTAACTTTTTCTTGTGATTTTTCTTTTAGGTCCTCTATAACAAAACAACACCCGCAAAACCCCTCATACACCCGTTTCCACAGTCCAGTAGGCCGCTCCCTTTCCCCAGAATGCTCCCAGTATCCTTCGCATCATGCCACTATTATACATTTCCCTCCCTTATGCAAAATGCCCCGCTTGTGATGATCCCATTATTTCCCCGTCAAAAACTGTGATACAATGCTCCCGACAATCCTTCCCGTTGTCACACAAACCCGTTACCACAAACTTCCAAGTCATCCTACCTTCCAACCTCAGTCAGTCCAAACCATTGCCCTAGCCCCCAAAAAAATGACAGTCCCACGGACGTGGTCAGAGACAGAACCATAGTGTGGGCAAGGTCGTTGTCAGTCCTTAGCTTGTAGCCCCTCAGTTTCCTTATCCTCGGCCTCCTGAAGCCATTGTTCCACTGGGTCCCGACTTGGAAACCTGACCAATCGTTGCCCCGGGAACGGCCCTTTCAATCCAGTTTCATCCAAATCTTCCAGTTCGAAGGTGTTCAATCTCACCCGCTTGGCGACCCGGTAGGGGCCTTTGAACCTCCTCCCCAGCTGTCCAGACCAAGTACTTTCAAGTGCCGAGTTCCTTAGCAATACTGTCTCCCCCACCTGAAGTGGTTCCTTTCTGACATTCTTAACCTTGTCCTACCTTGCTTTGTCCCTCATTCTGCTGTCTAGCACCCGGTTGGCGATGTCTTCCATGACCTCTTCGTTCTTAAGGACTTGTTGACACCTTGCATCGATTAACTATTTCGTGGTCATTCGCGGATCATCATCTCACCTGTTCCAGGTAGGTATCAAAGCTTCAACAGGAAAATCGATCTCTCTTCCATACCAAAGTTCTGCTGGGATACATCCCGTTGTCCTGTTAGATGTCATATTTTCTGAGAAGACAGCCTGCTTGACATACCTAGGCCAGCTTCCCTGATGGTCCGCTCCAAGCTTCGCAATCGTGTTCTTTAAGGTTCGGTGCCCTCTTTCCACAGATGCATTGGCCTCCGGGTGATACGGCTCAATGAGCTTGATCGGTACGCAAAGTCTCTTAAGCATTCCCAATACTTCTTGGTTCACAAATTATGTCCCTTGTCCGCTATAAACCTCCTGACGAAAGAATGCCTCAAGTAGAAGTCTTCTACGCAGTCCGCTACACTTCTTCCTGTTTTTTTCTTGAGGGCGACCGCCTCGACGAACCCACTCAAGTTGTCTCGCGCATCTAGAATATACATGTACCCATCTGTTGATATAGGCATGACCGCAAGGTCAAGGTGGACCAGATGTCTCGGCCCTAGCACCCGCGTAGGTCTAAGTGGCTCAAAGACACGCGCCGAGTTTCGTTCCTGGCAGATAAGGCAGGTCTGGCAATACATGGCGACCATGCCTGCCATGCCTGGCCAATAATAGAGTGGTGTTATCTTTGCAAGAGTTCCTTTGGACGATCGATGCCCTCCTGCTAATCTGTCGTGCATTGCCTGGATAATGTCTAACTGCCTAGATCTCCCGTACACAACTCTTCTAGGCATAGCACCTTCCTCTCTTCGGAACAGATGGTCGCCCCTTAGGACGTACCTGTCGGCCTCCTCCCTTGCTTTAATGCTGACTTCCATGGGTTGTTTGTTTCCTACCAGCAACAACCCGATCTCCCAAAAAATCCCTTCGTATATCTGGGCATAGAAAAACTCCTTCCCTTCCTGGTCCTCATCCTTTCTTTCCTGCGTCTGGCTTACCATCCATTGCAACTCTCTCCTTTCCCAAGATTTCACTAAGTTCATCACGGCTCCCCGACCTCCCTCAACCGCCATTGCTATTAGTTCCTCCCTCGGTCCTACTATCGCTCCCCACGAGTCTTTCTCCTCTTTGCGACCTCGAGTGCCTTCTCTAAGTTCCGCTACTACGGCAGGTGCTCCCTTCTCCAAAGTTCGGATTAACAGTTCTCCCGATGCGCATTCTTCGCCCATCATTTCGTTATCTACTGCAAGAGTTCCTCCTTCGTATTCAAGGAACGTGTCTATGGGCTCCGCATTCTCCACCCCTTCGGGACTGATGCAGACCCGGCTCAGCCCATCGGCCTTGTTTCTGATTCCCGCAATCCGTTCGATTTTGTAATCGAACTGCCAGATAAATCCTACCCATCTTCCCACCGTCGGATCTATAGGCCTGTAATTCTTTAAGGCCCCTGCAACATTCGTCGGATCGATCCTAAGGATGAACCGTCGCCCAAATAGGTAGGCTTGGAAGGTCTTGAGGCAATGTAAGATGGCTAGGACCTCCTTCTTAAACTGTAAGTACCGCCGTTCTGCGGAGTTCAGTGTTCTACTTTCGAACCTAATTGGCCTCTTTTTCCCTTCGTCGTCCCTTTGAATCAGCACGCCTCCGACGGCCAAGGGTCCTCCATCTGTCTCTAGGATGAAGGGTCGTCCCACTTCGTCATTGGAACAGGGTGCGGACAAGGCGACTTGCTCCGATGTCAGTATGTCCTTGAGGGTTTGGACAGCTCCTTCTCGCTCCTCCGTGCAATCCATGGTCCCTTCTTCTCTGATCATAGCCCGGATAGGCTCAGCAATTTTGGCAAAATTCTTAATGAAGATCCTCCAAAAGCCGACCACACCTAGGAATGCTCTTACCTCCGTTGTCGTGCAAAGGGGCGTTGGCCACTGTGAGATCTTGTCGGTCTTTGCCGGATCTGGCTTCCTACCGTAAGCACCGCAGTGAAATCCTAGTATGGTTACTTCCGGTACTGCTAGAATACTCTTTGGTCCGTTGACCGTAATGTTGTATACTAGGAACTGGCGGAGTAAGTCCTTGATGTCTTGTAGATGGTCCCATACAAACCTTCGAATTCCCGGCTGGACTTTAGTCTCGTCCTTCTCTTGAGCGCCTTTGATTGGGTTGTCATCGATATAGGGCTCACACTTTTTTGGAAACATGTCTCCGGCTACGGCGAGCATTCTCCTTTGTGCTTCGGCTACCGCGTTCGTAAAGCCCATAGGAGTCACCTGCATCTGCAACTGTCCTACGGGGGTGTGCATTGCGGTGTACGGCCTGTCCCGGACATCCAATGGAAGTTGGTCGTACCCTGAGTACAGATCGATCCGGGAGTAAATGCTCCAACCGGCGTGCGACTCTGCTAATAAATCAGCCTGAGGTAGCGAGTCAGCATCCCGGATGGTTACCGCATTCAACTTCTGTAGATCCTGAATCCACCTTAGCGTCTTGTTGGGCTTCCGAAAGACGAACCACCGGTTTGCGTATGGCGACGCCGTAGGTTCTGCGACGAAGGAGTCCATCTTCGCTCGAAGAAGGTCTGTCACTTCCCCTGCTATCCCGAATTCATAGGACGGACCCTTGTCATTCCAGCACTCATGTTCTACTGTGTGGATTCTGACTGGAGGAATCAGCTTTGCATCCAGCCGTCCTTTTTGGTGATCACTAAAGGCAAATGCCAGGTGAAACTCTTGGCAGGTCCTTTTGATCAGGCAGTTTTCCTCTTCCGTTAGGAATCCGTCTACCCCTATCTTCATTGTATCAGCTACCTCATCTGGTATCCGATGCCCTTCCATCACTCTCCTCTCTTGGATCACTCGAAGGACTTCCTCCTCCTTCTCCATAACCTCTTCCTTCGACGTCTCTAGCAGGATCGAGACCGGTTTTTCTTTCTTCCCTACCGGCTTGTATTTTCGAACACTTCCTTATGGGATCTTTCTCCTAAAAAATGAACGACCGGGATTGCCTTTGTCGCCTCTACGATTGGTGGTTGAATGCTAACTAATTTCCCATTCAGACAATATCCCTTTTGCACCTCTCCTTCGAATTTGGCCAAGGCCGCCGAGTCCACTCCTACCTTGTGGTATCTGAGGGCCTTGATGAGCTGTAACAAATCGGGGATCTCGAGTGCGACTTCTGGCACGTCCATACGTACTTTTTTCCGTCTGGGCAGGCTGGCACCGAGTTCGACTTCTGATTCCTTTTCTGCTACAATAACTCCCAAGATTTTGTCATCCTGCCTCCTCTTCTTCTGGGGCAGGCCCATCTTGATCCATTCCTTCTTGTTGAATGCCTCCTCAATCATAATTTCTACCCTTTCTCTCATGCCCTCCATTCGTGCAAAAGCCCCTTTTCGTGCGCTATCTTTGAACGACGGCGACCACGTTGCCAACTTCCCCTTCGGGGGGTCTCCTCCCGTCCCGAGGAGTCGGAGGAGCTCACCCCGGCTGGTCACTGGGTCCTCTATATCTACCATGTACGTGCCATCATGCAAGTGCATGTCTATCATTTCTACGTTTGCGCACCACGGTCTCCCAAGGATTATATCGTGGTCCATTTCCTCCATTGCTGTCATCCGTTGGAACGAACAGATCGTCTCCCTGACTCCTGCCTTGACTGCGCATTTCGTGACATACCCTGCGAACGGGATTTCCCCACCAACTCCCCGGATGCTTCGTGTTACCTCCTTATTTACCGTACAGCCCGTGATCGTTGCGAAATCCCTCCTTATGAGAGTGATTTCCGCTCCCCCGTCTACTAATGCGTCGATATGATGGGTCCCGATCTGGATTTTTAGCTTTCCTACGGGTAGCGAATGGAAGCTGAGCTTTGTTTCGGGAGGTGCCCTCATGACCTCACCACCTTCTCGGTCTGGTAGGCTCAGGCGGATGTCCGCAAAGGCCTTCTCGAGATCCTCCAAATCCCCACGACTCCTCTGAAGGTTAGCGACTTCTTGTGGAGCTTCCTCCTCCCTTTCCTCTTCCGGTGATTCGGGGTTTTCGTCTATCTCTACTTGCTGCCGAGTCAACAGTTGTCTAAGCCCTTTGAGCAGCCTAGGGCTGGCCTGCAGCATGGTCTGAAACGACATTGACACCATGGTCCCCAGTAATTTGCTAAGGGTGTCATCGATTTCAGACATAGATAAGATCAGGATTCGGTACCTAAACTTCTTTTTAGCGGTGGTAACTTTATCCGTAGGCTCCTCTTCCCTAGGCTTCCCATAAACTTCTTCTGGTTCCCCAGCCTCAGACTCTGCCTGGGGTACGGAACTTCCAGCAACCTTCTTCATCACGGTGTCACGAATAATCCTTCTCCCAGTCGTCCCTAGCCGAGTAGTCGCGTTCACCCTATCACGTCTGTCGTTTTCCAAAATGAAGTTGACCTGCGGCCCGCGGCCCCGAAGTTGATCTCAGATGATTTCGACCACCGGCTCAGCTTCTACCGCTGCTATCTATAACCCATTGAGCATGATAATAGCTCGTCGCATCCCCCCTGGCGAGTTCCAATTCACCCGTTCTCCCTGTGGTCCGAATATCTCTCCCTTAACGACCTGGAACATCTCCTTTTTAATATATCATGGTTGAGTTTTGGACATGCGCACACATAATGTCTCATCGCGGCGCAGTACCTGCATTGCTCATTAGCAGGATCTCTCCGTTCGAATCCTCGTTTGGCTACACCTGGCGGAACTACGGCTTCCTGGGGAGGGAGGGCTGGTCGGGATACTTGCACCTGCATAACCAGTAGCGTGTTCTCCACCCTTTCAATCTTGTTGTCGACTCCGTGCACCCATTCATGTAGACTTTCAATCCCTTTCTTTACCTTGTCGCCTGTCCTACCGGTCAGATCTATGACCTCCCCTTCCTTAAGCAAGGCCAACGTCTCGGTCACTACTGTCTTTTCGGCCAGATCCGTTACTGTGCTAAAATCAACATCCCTGGTGTTTACGAACTTGCTCGTCTGCTGGTAAGCCGACAGAATCTTGTCTTTGTCGAACTCGGAGAACTCCCTGAGGAAGTATTTGCTCATTATTCGGTCCGTAACCCCGGGGATCCTTAGTGCTACCATAGTAAACTCCCGTAGGAAGTCATTGTACGTTGCGAAGTTCTTTCTCTGGACTGCCGCCAAATCGGCCTTTGTTGCCATCTTCTCCGCTGCCAGGTATTTCCTCATCATTACATCCCGGGTTTCCTTCCAGGATCGAGTCGCGGCTACGATGGCCATTATGTCCCGCCCCAAGCTCAAAGATACGTGCTGCCCCTGGTGGTCCATCTTTTCTTCTTCGGTCCATTTCAACAGCGCGCCCAGATTCTCGTAATCTATCAAGAATTTCGTGATGTTCGCCCCGTCAAACGTCAACTTCTTCTTAGCGTCCGCTAGGTAGCCTTGATTTTTGTTCAGTGCTCGCGCGAGGGACGATACTATCTTCCTAAGGCCGCCTTCAGAGCTACTGGCCTCCCCCGCCATACTGGTATCCGGTCCTTCCTTGCCGGCCTTCTGTCCCTCCCTAGTCTTTGTAGTTCCTTCCGGGTCGAACCATCCCAACACCCTTTCCCTAAGGCTCCAGAGTCCTTCACATCCTCGCGTTACCGCTGGCGTGGTCGGCAGACGGCTAACCCTACTATCTGTGGTTGGTGGGTTCGTAGCTTTCTCTGCCTCCATTCCCAGAGAGTTCTCTCTCTCTTTCCTTCTTTTGCTCGGCGTTCCCCCACGGTCACTACCCTTATCCCCTTGCCCAATTCCCCCTCGGTCGGTCCTCCGTTCGTCCCGCGGTTCTTCCTGCAGAAGACCTTCTTCGTTCCCAGTCATCATTTCCTCGATCAATCTTGCCTTGTACTCCGCGGTCCTTTCTTCTATCTCTGCTAGCTTACGCCTGGCATCCGTGACCCTTACTTTCTTAGACACAGCTCCCTCTGAATTCCGAGGGCTTGTCCTATCCTTATTCCTGCCCTCCTTGGTTTCCTGAGTCCCTTGCCTGCTTCCCCCAGCTTTCCCCGAGCTTTCCCCTGAGGAGATTTCCTTCTGGTTCCCTTAGGTACCATCCGGATTTATCGATTCTCTGTCTTTTTGCCCCTCTTCGCTTTGGACGACACTGCCTCCTAAGGCCGGTCCTCCTTCGCTCTTACGGTTATCCATCTCATCCTCCGTTGCCATTTTGCCTAGTTCTGCATAAACCAAAGGATTCCCCAGGACACACGCAACGCGAGGCATTTAGGTCCCCTAGGTTCCGACTTCGTTGGCTTATCTTTATTCGAAAAATAGCCTTCTCCCTATTTCCGTTTCCAGATTGCTTCCCTAAGAAGGAGCCACGACTGGCCTTGCTGCCCTGTCGAGCTAAAGGCGTGACTTAGTTTCCTTTATCACAGGCTCGTTTAGAGCGCCCTTGTCCGGTCGGGCCGGCGCGTAGGAGTCCGGGTTAGGCATCTTGCTAGGGAAAGTTTCCTGGGCAGCATTCCCCTTTCCGTCCTTCAGGGTCATGGCAACCATTAGAAGTCTATCCTCCCCTCTTTGTTCTCTAGCGGGTTTTGATCGTCCGGACCCGAGACCTTTCCTTATTTCCATCGGCGGACTTATACTTAATTTGCCCTATTAGCCCGCTCCCGGACGCTAGTCCCGTTCTCGCCCTCGTGGCCCTTCCGGTTCGGTAGGCTCCTCGAATAGTTGAGCCACCCCCGCTAGATAATTCTCTCCTATCTCGATTTCTCTTAGGATTATGTGTTCGTATTCCGCCTAGGCTAGCCGTGGCAACCCAAATATCAGAATATGGATGACTTCCAGTAACTCGTGGGCCCTGTTTCCCGAGAACGGCCCATGTTCCACAGCAACATTGTAGAGCATCCCGATGGTCTGAAAGGGGAAGTGGTATACCCAGATTATTGTTGAGTCTACCAGCGCCTGCGCCCTTGCGAGGCTCCCGAAAATGAGGTCTATCATAAATCGGGGGACCCGGCACCTCAGCGGTGTGGTTGGTGCCCTGAATTCGCTCCAACCTCTCATTTCCACCCTGGTAAGTAAATCCACATTTCTCCTACCCCTGACTGATTGTCCTATCCGTGTCAATACCCGGGCCGCCCTCTGAAAGACTGGAGCCAGCTCGTGGCCTTGCGCTATTCCTATCCCCAACAAGTGTCAGCCAGCCTTGGGTAGGTATAGGACCCCGGTTACTTCTAAATTGGAGAACAGGTCATCCCCAGACCCTCGATTGAGTCTCATCCCTGTCCACCGACATTCCACCAGCATGAAGGCGTTGTCTCTTCCTAATGTCACGGCCCGCCATTCTACGTCGAATCCCCGAAAGTTGGAATTTGACGGGAGGGACACTTCCCATCGCCCGCCGTTATTCCAGGGCGGTCCGGGGTACCGGGGCTGACGTTCCATCCGCACTCGTCTTGCTGCCATTGTTGTTCCGACGATTCCCTGCATAGTCCACATAGAAAATGTTACAGCCAATCCTCAGTAAACGTCCACCTACTGCCCCCTTACCCTTTATGTTCTCATTCTTCTTCTATGGTCCCAACTATCCCTCCATATCCCCAGGAGCAACCTCCTCTGGCTGCTCGTACAACCGGTAAAGGTCATCTATGTAGGTCGCGCCCCGACCTACTTCCCGCCTGATGACTCTCCACATGGCCTCATCACTTATTTGCGGAACCCCTGGCCTAGTATTTACTGTTGCTCGTAGTATGCAAAACACCTCGTGCCCTTGTTCGTCTTCAAAAGGCCTCATCTGTAGGAAGGCCCGGTAGTATTCCCGATACATTAATGCTTCCTCAAAATCTAGCCTAGTTATGGCAGCTACCACCTGCTCCACTCGCTCTATGCCGCCCATTCGTCTTAGTAAAAAGGGTAGTAGACTCATTCGTATGACCTCATTCGGCAACCTAAAGTCCCTGCCGCGGCGACTTTTACTTCAGCCGTTACGTCATCTCGTTCTGGATCCGCGAACTCAAACCCCTCCCACCAGGTTATTTGCCACGCTCCTTCGAACATTCGCACGGGGTTATCCCTGGAAGCCAAGGCAATCCCAAAGGTCCGCCATCCTTCTACCGACAGGTGTAAGGATCCCATCTCATGCACGCACCCTGGGAGGTCCAAATTTATGCCCCCGAACTCCCCTCTCGCACGCCATTCCAGCTCTACTACTGGGTACACCGTGTTTTCCACCAATTCCACCCCCACCCAGTCCATTACCGGGTTACTTACCACATTTCTTGATGGCAGGCTTATTTCGACCCTGCCCCCTGATGCTCTTGATGGTAGGATCCCGCGAGGCCTATCCTCCCAGAATGTCATTCGCCGGACCATCTTGGAATGTCTCTTTTCTTGCTCCCTTAGTCCGATTGCTGCACCCACCGAGATTCCGTGCCATTTCGTGCTTTAGTCTTTCAGCACTCCCTACCTATCGTACACCGGTTCTTGCTGATATCCCTGCCCCATACACATACAAATCTTCTTCCCCTTTTCTGGCTGTTGCTATCTCCCCCTTGTTTCGACCCTCACGCACCTCCTGCTAACTAATGTACACGCCCTTCTCTTATGTTACACCCTAATTCACATGCATCCTCCATACTCCGACTTCCCCGTGGCGTTTCAATTTTTCGGTCCTCTTTAATCGGACCACAATACCTCAAACAGCTTAAAAACATCATCGATGTACGATGGAGCGGCCGCCGCCTCCCGGCTGACTATGGCGTCCCAAGCCTCCGCGTCTACCTCTAGGCGGTCATACTTGCCTATCCTTAGGACGGTAAGGATCTCCCCGGCTTATCTCCGTAGAAGGGCCCATATTTTAATGAGATCCTATAGAACTCCTCAGTCAGCCACGCACACTCTATATGCACTTCTTTCATGGAGTCGGCTACTTCTACAATGTGCTCAAAACCCCCAAACCACTCGGCTACGAACTCAGGCACCCAAGCCGTTGTTCATAGGCTGGGAGGCTTGAGTTCCTTCCATCCTCCCATCACAACTCTGTTACTAACTTTGTCCCATCCCTCGTTGGTGAACCTCTTGCCTTCCTTTCGGGTTCGCGTCTCTGCATCCCCTAGAAGCCACATTAGATCCTGTCTCATTACTAACATAGTGCAAAATAGGCGCCACCCGTCTTCGGAAAGGACAATCGTTCCAACCGACTCCACTTTGCTCTCTACTATGTCGTCTCAACCTTCCTCTTCCCTTATCGGGTTCCAAATCCGCTATATCCATACATATGATAACTCCCGGGCAACCTCAAACCCAATCCAGTCGCACGTGGTCCCCCTCCATTCGTTTTCTGCCGGGATATGCATTTCTATTCCTCCTCCGAGTCGTCTTGGTTCCCATCCCTTGAAGGTGTATTCCATCATCCTTTCCTCTCTAGTCATTTTTCCCCTTCCTGCACAATACCAGGTCACCCGTTCCCCCTAGGTTAAGTCACCCCACCCCCCTTAGAAGTCCCAGTCCTCCATCTCATCATCTTCGTCCTCATCACTGAAGTCGTCCTCTTCGTTGTAGAACAATTCCCTCACCCCTTCCAGAAACGTCTCCCCTATTGCCACATTCCTGTGGATTATCCTCCAATGCACAGAGTTAGAGACAAAGACATTGTCTATGCTAAGGTAGTTTAGTATCTCGGTCAGCTCGTCTGCCCAGTTCCCTTCGAACGGCCCCATTTCTATCAACAACCGCAAGAAGTCTTGCCTTGCGCACTGGTATAGTCTGAGGTTCATCATCGACTGACATATCTGTACTAGCCTGCTTCGGGTTCCGAAAACCGCATCCACCAGGAAGGGAGGCAGCACACATCGCATGGTTTTGACGGGTCGCCTCATGCTTCCTCTATCCCCAAGTTCCACCCGCACATCTACCCTTTCCATTTCCATTTCCCTCCGCTGACATGCAACCCATACAACCTCCGCTTCTGCCTTCCTAAACAGCTCGTCCGGCGTATTCCCGAGTGTCAACTCTATGACCATAGCATTCTCCCTACCTTGCGACAAGTAGACCCACCCCTGGGCTTCCACTGTCCCTCGGAACTCCAGATCCATTAAGCTCGACGACTACCTTGTCAAGCTGAAATTAGTTCATACTGTATCTATCCATAGGAACGCGTCCTCCCCTTCCAACATTGCGGTTTGATATGCTGGTTCAATGTCCGTCCACGTCTCATCTTCCGGGAGGACGACTGATACCCCATTCTTTACATCTACTGGCATTTCCGGACCGCTGGTATAGATTGGGGAAGACAACCATCGCGCCATCTCGTTTCCAGCACCCGACCCCTGTTTTCATAAAAGAGTACCAACCGGTCCTTCTGGCCAGGTCAACCCTCGTCCTAGATGAGAATTATTTCAGACCCCTCATCAAGGTCTCCCTAATTTACCTCCCCATTCCTAAGTACCTCCTTCCCATAGTACCATCGGTCGGCCATCCATTCCCCCACATTCTTTCTCTTGGTTCCATTCTAGCTTACCTCTATCCTCCTTCCTTCCGATCATCTCTCACTCGTGTGGACTTAGATGGGGGGGGGGGATAGACTTAGAAATATGTTCCGTCCAACAGTCCAAGCTCAATCAATCTTTACAGAGGGGGAACATAAAAAAAATCAGACAATCTCACATACGGGCCGGTCATCTCCTCACCGGCCATCCCCAATATGGTCTCTCTACCGGTACTATTGGTAGAGTTTTATCCCATACCTCAAGCACAGCTCAACCATCGCGAGCGCGGTACCCAAGCTCCGGCAAGGCATTAGCCCTTTCCTTATGCCCAGAATACCCCATCCCGTCTTGCCGCTTTTGCAAATCCGTACCGACACCAAGGGTTACCCCGTGTGCCTAAATACAGGGACAAAAGTCAGTCGTCCGGGCATTTACTTCCATCGGTCCGACAAGAATCAGCCTTTCCCAAACCATGCTACGAGAAGCTACTAATCGTCTCTGAGGTTCCGTCTTTGTCCGCATGCAGTGGTACTCCCCCCGCCAGCCAACAGGCTAAGCCCCACCTGAGGAGACGTTTCGCACCCCGTCCGGCAGATCATCGAGCCAAGCTCGTCACCACTCGAACGGGAATGCTGCTAATCAATCGGTGTAACAAACTCTCGTCCGACAGCTCGGTGGCCTGACCTCCACACACGAATACACGGCGACCTTCAAAAGAGAGCGACGTTTCGCAACCCGCACCGGCCGGTGCAGACCCATCCTTTCCTTCCGAAAGGCAGGACGCTCAAATCCCATCATGCAAACACAAGTCCCAAGTGGGACACATAGAGTACAAGTGCCTTTCCCTTGGTGCTCCCAGCGCTTCCTACCCATAACTCACATTTTTCTCTCAGGACAAGTGAGTGTCACTCCCCCCTATTTTCATACACAGTGGTTGGTTCCTTCTCGTGAGAATCTTCAAAGGTGAGCTAGTTTTCCTTTTCCCTTTCTCTTCACTTGTCTGTCCTTTCATAGGGCTGGATTGTTCCTTCTTGATGACCCGTTGTGTTCATGTTGGTTCCTTCAAGCATTTCAAAAAAAAGGTGCAAAGTGCATGAGCCTACTAGGCTCAAAGAAGAAGATAGAAGGGCACCCGTTTAGTCGGATCACTCCGCCACAGGATTTTCATTGGAACTCGACCTAAGCCGAAGCACCAACCGCCTAACAGGTAACCGGAGCCCTTCTTTCATAGGAAGAGGACGGGTCGACCTGCGACTTGCCCAAGGCTTCCTCGGACTAGCGAACACCAGCACCGGACGAAGGAGGGCTAGAGCCGTTCCACAAGGAAACGACTAATCAAGTGCATAACATGCATGTTATACCTCCAGGCCTGGACATGCCATGCGCCCAGCCACTCTCAAATCTGATTCTCACAAGGGAAAGAGCAAACACAAGTTCATTTTCCTTATCTTGGGTTGTGTACACGTCAATGCGTCGGGCGCCCCTGTCGGAATCGCAAGGGTCAATTTAACCCTTGCTCGTCACCTCCACCATTTTTGTAGGGCCAAACCCCGGTAGACTTTCGAGCCTTAGTCGACCCCACTGCGGGTCCCAATTGGCTCGGCCCGCCCACGCTCATGCTCAGGGTGCGGGCCATTCGTCCCAGGGTCACCCCCACCTAGTGCTTTGAGATTGATGGGGGTGGGCCATCGCGCGAGAGAGCTTTGACATTGGGGATGTAGCTGAACCCTCACGCCGGGTGGCAGTCTCGCGGGTCATTCGGTCAATCGCTGATTTTTTTTTTATTCTTAGTTATGTTCTCAGACAATTGTTCCTTCCAATACTCAAGCAGTCCAAGGGTTCTTTAAGAGTTCTCTTCTCTTGTGCAGGCTAAGCGTCATCCTTAGGCCGCGCACCATTTTCCTAAGCCTCGCAACTCTACGGCATCATCGGGGCGCGGCGAAGCCGTCCCTCCCCTCGCCTCTACGCGCCCATCGATTCTCATACATCTCATTTAATCCCATTGACGCAGGCCCCTTAGTCTTTCCGGGGCCTTTACATGCATGCACATTCAACTTCACACTTCCCTTAGCAAGATTGTACTTCATCCACACTCTAAATCCTCAAATGCAAAGGTCATTTCCATGGGTCGATGTTATGCTAAGGGTCCAGTAGCCCCTTTGCCGCTCTTCCCTTTTCCTTTTGATGCCCGGTTCCTCCCGGCCCTATCCCGCTCAAAGCATCCTTAGCCATCACTAACCTGCACAATCCCACGCAAGCAAAAATCCATACAATCCCCCGTTGGGGGTCAACACATAGCCCATCCCACATGCCTAATTTTCCATGCTCTTTGGCTGCCTCTTCTTCCCTTTTCTCTGCTCAATCAACCCATCCTCTTCTCATAGTCATGCAGTCGGGGAAATGGTTGAGTCAAACTGACCTCGCTTTAACTTATACTTTCTCCGGATCTCGTCCTTTCCCACTTTTTCCAACGTACTTTTTCCTTGCCTTCTTGGTGGCACAAAGGACCGGCTACCTTTCCATTGCCCTCTCTCTCCACCAAGTGAGGTCTGATCTCCCTTTACTGTTCACACTATGACATTGTAACAAGTGAGGGGAGAAGGGTTAGTCATATGCCAAGTGAGGGGAAGGGAGAGAGGGGGGCAAGGTGAAGGGGGAGAGAAAGAGCGGTGGAGAGGGGGAAGAGAGAGAGGGAGAGATAGAGATAGAGATAGATAGATAGATAAATAGATAGATAGATCGATAGATAGATAGATAGATAGATAGATAGATAGAGAGATAGATAGATAGAGAGAGAGAGAGAGAGAGA